TAAACATAATACAATTAATTCTTACAACCTACTTATATAGTTAATTCCTAACACTACTTATTTTCTATAAAATAATCTGTCATATCGGTATACATATCCAGAAGGTAATATAAGTCCTTTAAATCTTCCTCGTTTTGAGATGATAGAGTTTCATAACAAATCCATCTTTTTCGCATAGTTGAAAGAACAGGATCAGAAGATAGAAGTAAACTATTAAAAATATCTTCATTCTGTGATTGCCTGGAGCATTTTCTTGAGCTGTAAAGTTGAACGTGCTTAAAATCTCGATTCCTCGCTTCCTGGGCTTCTTCTGTTAACTCTCCAAGTGGAAGAATATTCGATTCAATTATTATTTGACCATGACACAATACTTTGTGTACTGTTGGTGTTAGTTCCCTCCATGGATACAGAGATACAAGTAATTTAGAAATTTCAGATGTGTATTCCCCAAATCGATTTTCATTAATTTTATGTTTACTATTCAGTGCCATTAAAATAGTGTTAACTCTTCGAAGCAACTCCTTGTCGATTCCAGTTATTTTTGAAGTAATTTCAAAATCACGAAAAAACCTTCTCGACGTATTACCGTCATTTGTACTACCGCAACTTGAAAGTGGTTTGTCGATGTTTAATCCCATCTGAACTTTAAATTCTACAAAACTACAAAATTTTAATCGAAATTTCTTTTGATTTCCATCCACAGACTTACTTTTTACATCAAAAAGTTTTAAAAAGTTTTCAATTTTTGATATGCCTGTTTTGTCTACTTTTCTACTATATGTAGTTTTTATATAATTTGAAATGTCTTCAATTCTTTCTGGCCCTTTTGAAGATATACTCCATAAAACGGAACACAACTCTTCGTACTTTAATGTAATCTTCATTGTAGATTTATTAAATATGGTACTTAAAATCTGAGAAGTTTACTTATATACCAATTCTTGTCATTTCCGATACAGGTATTCCAAAGTAAAAAATTACGAATTGTCTACCTATTAACATTTAGGACTATATTACTATAACCTGTAATTCAGTCATTGATATTTCTTATTAGTGAATGAATCGAAATTATCATTACCTGTATATTTTTACCTAAATGATCTTAAACGAAACAGAACGAAATGATCTGTCGAAAAAATTTAGGTAAAAAATAGTTATAAATTTTTGAAAATTTAAGCATAATAGGACCTTTCAATTATAAGGATAAGCAAACAAATAGAAAATAGGTAAATATAAGATTTAAATATGTGCTGTCATACTTAATACTAAAATATGAAAAAGATGAAATTAAAGGACACAGGTTTAAATGAAGATATTTTTGAATGTAATTGAGATATTGGCTTGAAATTTTTTGTAAAGGGTCGAGAATTTCCATATCTAACTAAAAAATGATATTAAGGGATAAATATGGACTAAATTGTTGTAGCTATCTGCGATCCTATTAAAATTTTGATATAAATCATAGTTTTAGAAATTAAACAAATATGTAATATATGACAAAATCTTTATTTATGAACAAAACTCAATGAAATTTTCAACGCTTGTTAAATTTGTCATTTTAAATAAGAATATGCAAAAAAAAAATTGAAAAGGTCAAAGGGCATCCCGCAATTCCCAAAAATAGGAATGAAAATCCCAAAAATGGGATTTTTTATTTTTTTGCCCATAGGGTCCACATTTCTTTCAGGGCTGGGAAAATACTTTTGGAGTAAATAGAAAACATATTGAGGTTTCCAAAACTGCTTTCAGTTTTTTGATCCCAGCTTTGGGATTTTAGAACATGTCGCCCAAAGTTGAAGTTTTGATAAAAAATAGGTCATATTCGGAAGGACGCAGTGGCAACATTTTCAAAAAATAGGACAAGTTTTTTACGCCAAAGCGTTCTGCGTAAAGATACCTTTTAGAAAACTATAAAATTGTTATATGTTCTTAATAAAAAATTTATTTTATTAATAAAAGAGTTAAGACACATTTTTGGCAAAAAAACGCCAAAAATCTAAAAATTTTTGAATTTTTAAATTAAAAAACGTATATTTTTGGATCTGTAAACGATATTGATCTGAAATTTTTTGTATATTATTGGAAATTTTGTTGTCTAACTAACAAGAAAAAATTGAGTCCATTTGGTCCAAAATTACGCCCGGTATTCAAAAAAAGGCGGACCAAGGTATGGTAAATTTTGTATCACTAAATTTTTAAATGCCTATAACTCGGATATTATAAGAGATAAGTAGTATGTCCAAGCATGTTTTTTCAAGATCTCGTCGAGCGCTTTCACAAAATATAAAAATCTTTGTATTTGGGTGAAAAACAAAAAAATGGCACGAGTTTAAAAATTTTACATGTCGTAGGTACCCTACTTTGAGCCGCCACAGCGCCGTCCCTGGGGCATCTGCAGGGTTCAAAACTTAAACTCGAATACTCCTTGGCTACGCTCACGCCAAATTTTATCCCGATCGGATCAGCCGTTTAGAAATGCCAGATTTATTTCCAAAAAATTTCCATTCTGCCCCACTGTGCACTCTTACTTGTTCTTCATTAGCTTTTATGCATCCCCTCTAAAGTTTTGGCTGAATTTAGACACCACTTATTAAATCCGAAGAAATAAAGGTCAAATATCGTTAGATGTACAAAGCAGATACATATCGTTAAATGTACAAAACAGATTACATATTTTTCACTTTTATAAACCAAAAATTTCGTTACAAATGAAAACCTAGTTAAAAGTGAGGAAAGAGAAGTCATTACAAATGACATATTTGAAGTACATCAAGATTTGGCGAAAGAGTAGTGATATCTACATAAGCGTGTCATTAAGAGAATGTGTTTTATTTTTGACATCCAAATATCGGATTTTTATTGCTTCTAAAAATAAGATTAGATGTAGTTCAAAGTTGACAAAAATGAACAACGTCCCTCCAATGACAGGCTAATGTAAAATTCATAGGTTTTACTCCCGAATTTGAAGCACTTCGGGTTACTAGTTGTGATGAAAATACTACATCTTTTTCCACACTTTTTTTGCTGGAACTATTAAAAAACTAATAAAATTAAAAAAAAACGCAAAATTTTGGTTACATTTGTTTACAGACGTCTATTTTTGCACCAAAAAATATTAATGAAATTATTATATGGATTTTTAAATGTCCAAAGTCTTGTGACTCTTGTTTATAAAGGACGGCTCAGTAAGTTATCAAGTGAGAGTACAGTTTTGAAATAAATGAAAAAGCTCTGGTAAGTTTCAAAGTATTTTTTTCGCTTTAAAAGTTTTAAATGTTCATAACGTTAATAGATAATAAGCAAGTGGTCTGCAATTTTGGACATACATGTGTTTTGGTATATTATACCGAAATATATCAAAACATTTACTTATTTTAAAAGATTAATAAAATACAAGGTATTTTAATTCAGTTTCATCGATTATTAAAAATGTTTGATTTTGCTCATATGCAATACTCCAGCAAAAATAAGTTTTTCCAAAAGAATAACATTTATCACCACTTCAAAAGTAGCAAGTAGTGAATTTTTTACCTTCTGTGGAAGTGATGTTTAATGACTTCCGAAGAAGCGAAAATAATTCTATTTTTTCAATAGTGAAGATATTTTTTTTTAGATTTTTGTGAGATAAAAAAAATTATTTCTGGTCTTCTGTTTTAAGTATATCTATTACCCTTATTAATGTTAATATTATTTAAGTCAAATTAGTTGTATTCCATAATAATACAATTTCACTTCCGAATAACTTCCAAAAAAGAGCATAAAAATTACTTCTTAAGAATGACTTCAGAAGCCGTGAATTTGGAATCAAATAAAAAGGACATCCCTCCTATGACAAGCCTGTGTTAATCATCACTTCTTCAGTACTTATTTTTCGCTTCTTTGGAAGTCCTTTTTTGCTGGGAGGTTTACTAACCTCTAAAGCAACAGTTTTTTAATCTTAGCTGCAACTTCTTTATCAGAATGTACCATTGATACCACTTCAGATGCACTTCTTTTCCCAATCATTTACAAGTTGTGTAACTTTCTTTATTTGGGTTTTAGGGGAGTATTCTGCGAACTCTTTTGTAGGTCGTGCAGCATTATGACTTGTGGTTTGTTGCTCAAACAATAAAATTTTACTGTTCAACCAATCTTTATTGCGTTCTTCAAAATTCGATAAAGTCCTGTTGGCGTTCTTCCACTTTACTACCAGTCTACTTATAAAGCTTCTGAGTTTCTTTTTTATTTCTCGGCACTGATTCTCACTAAAATTATTTTTGGGAATGATATCAAATACATGGGCCTCTACAACAGAAAATTTGTTTGTGGGTTATACCATATTTGAAAAAGTGTGCGTTTTGAGACATTCATTGCGCCTAAAAAAATGCAATAACAGGTGAACTGGCTGACCATTTTGGACATTTTACATTTTTTTGGGCTGAATCCCATTGAATCCCGAAAGTTGCACTCCATGAAACTACAATATAGACCACTTCAAATATTTTACCGTATACGTCACCTTCGCTAACCCATTTCTATAAAGCTAGAGGAACACAGGTCACAAACATTCATTTTCTAGTACCTTTTACTTCAAAAAAAATAAATATAGTTTCCAAAAAATTAATCACTTGTGTCAATATCAACAAAAATCACACACTGAGTAATTTGGCGCCAAATTTGTAAATACAAAAGCTACAACAAATAACATGTTTGACAGCTCACAGCTGTGCGAATATTAATAGCAAAACAAAAGTAAAAAAAGTGCAAACAATATTATCTATTTTAACTTTTCAAAACTTGAATTTTATGACGCCAGATCATGTATTTCGACCAATGTGAGATCCTAGAGGGTTTATGGAGTATATCTTCAAATGTTAGATTCGAATGCTTTGTGAAATTATATCCCGATTGCACCAACCGTTTAGAAATGCGAGATTTATTTCCAAAACTTTTCATTCCGCCACTGTACATACTAACATATATTTTTATCCTTGGTTAAATAAATGGGACTAAATTTGAACAGTATCAATAACCATTTTTTATTAATTATGAATTTATTAATTTTTATAAATAAATTAATTATTAAGATTAAACTTAAGATATTTTCAACCATATTTGTAACGAAAAAATAAAAACAAATGTAAACTATGTTATGGATAATATTTTCATCATAAATGTCATAGCAGAAATTATATATGTTGGTTAGTATTGTTTTTTTCCGTTTTAAATATTTTTGGACCATTATTCAGCGTAGAGAAAAATGATGTGTAATCACTTTTACATAAAAAATACATGATACAAATTTATGAGTTTTATTAACATTTGCTTATATGCGCCAACCAGTTGTAATTGTGTTGCAAACTTTTTAGGGCATTCAAATTTCGTTTTTAGTAAAACTACTATATGTTTTATGCAAAATCATGTTCAATAAATTAATATTTTAAAATATATAATAGGGTTATATATACGAAAAGTATGATTTATTTTATCTGATTTTACAAAACTAGCTTTATTTTAAATAAGAATTAAGAGAACGTCAAAAATTAAAAGCACATATGTAAATTGTTTATACTTGATCCGATTATTAACCGATCATTTTAAAAACTACGAGAATTAATTTGTCTAATTGAACAAAAAACACGAATAATTGAATGCCCTAATACATATAGTGAATCAATTAAGTAATTTGCCTATATACAATTTTATAAATTTAAAAAAAAAACTTTATCTGAACAATTATTTTTAGCAAAATAAAGCAATTTGTTTGTTTTACTTTTTAAAGAATATCTTATATTTTAATTTTCTACCATAAAAAGTAAAATCGTGATATTAATCAACGAGATTTTTGATAAAATGTGAACGTATTGTTAATTTTTAAGGTCAATAAAGTATTTTGCTTTTTTAAGTTTTTTGTTCATTTTTTTAATGTTGCTGCATTATTTTATAAAATTTAATATTTTTATTACTCCTATGTATTAGAATAACATTTTAGTAGTGGAACGACTAAGTTTGGACATTTCTTAACCGATTTATTATCCTATACTATATACCTATAATAATTTTTCAATATTTGACTTAACATGAAATCTATCGTTTCTTTGATTTAATTTCGAAAATAATAAGCAATTTTGAATTGGATACATGATATATTAGGAAATCAATGGATTTGGACCCAGAAAAAAATTTTTAGTGGGGTATAAATCTATAGATTATAACAAAAATAATCTGGGTTTTTGGTCATTTTGTATTGATAAACAAAAACTACATTACGGAGACCCCATCTATTTGGGGAGTACTGTGTGAATTCAATTTAGAATTGTATAATACTGATTCTTATTCAATAAAGCTAACACTAAGTACCATCCTAGCCACTCTAAGTATGGGGATATCACCGTATACCACTATAGAACTATTACATGCTAGAATCTTGATATTCTACCTCATATTTTGAATGCATTATTTTATGAATAAAATACAGTAGGCGTAGTTGGATTTGGATAGTTATTCTTGATTTGGGTTCTTGGATTTTGAAAGACAACTCAATGCGTTTTTTAATAATTCTTTGTGTTATTTCATCAATTTCTATATTTTATATTTTTTAATGATTGATTAAACATCTCATAATTGAATTTCATTGATTTATACTTGTTCTAAAAATCTAAACAAATTTTTTATATTGGAATTGCCTCATTATTTCCCTTTAAACATTTTTAACGCAAATAACTACACAGTTTCACACAATAAGGATATGATTTTTGAAAATTACAATTGAAAAATACTTAACACGTGTCCTTTTAACAATAAAATAATAAATTCTAAAAAGCAATTAAAAAATAATTTGAAAACCCCAACGAAATTAACTGGAAATTTCAATATGCAAAATACTTTATTGACGTGCAAATTCTGATGAAAAATATAAAATGCAACAACAAATGCACCAAAATTTTTATTTTAATATTTTTTTCTTGGTTTTCCCATTCTACATAATCTCTATTTTCAACTGGAAAACATAAATTTACTTTTTACCTGTTTTTTTTTTTTTAATTTTATTTATGAACAAAAAACAAAATTCTCTTAAAAAAAGGTAGGCAAAAAATTAGTTGATTCACTGTATTTAAGTTTGGGTCCAAGTATGACTGATTTATTGTAGTTAAGCAACAATTTATATAGTACAAACCTAGTACAAATTGATCTTTTTTAGAATTGTCTTGCGGCACATGTGACATGTTCGTAGCGTTTCTGCACAACGTGAACATGAACCATGTCCACAAAGAAAAGCTACGTCACGACTTCTTTCCATACATATACTGCAATAATGCGATTCTTCATATTCCTGTATTTTATTCTCTAAATAGCGAAGTCGGTCAGCCGATGGGATATTTGTTAAATCTGTATTCGAAATAATACGTCCACTACAATCAATTCTTTGCTCGATTAGTGTTCCACACCGCAAACATTTCTTCATACGCTTGCCGCAGTCTTCACATGATATTTGGTGTTGACAAGGTTCAAATTTAATTAGTTGTAAAGATTCATTACAAACAATACATTCTTGCGGGCATGTTGACAGTATTTCTGGAGTATTAAGGACCGAAGCCTCCAAACTCAGGGTAACTGATTCAAGGGCTACATTATTATTTGCGTTCATATTTGGTGTTGGTACTTTTATTGGTTGTTTTCGGGTACTTATATTAGAAGCTATGCTATGCAGTCGGTTATGATTTGAGCTAGATGGTTTATCTAACATTAAAGTAGCATCATCTTCCGATGATAATCTATTTAACGCTATTGCACCAACTGGCTCATTTGACTCCAAATTCAACTCATGAATATTTTGGATTAATCTATCCGTTAAGGCATTAGTGGCTGCAGAACTTGTTGAAGCTGTAGTAAATGCTTGGTTTTGCAAGATTGTTGCATCGGTATTCTGATTGCCCAAAATAATTTTTTTTAAATTTTGATCAGTAATCCACTCGAAAATATTTGCTCCCTTATTATTTTGTTCTATTCGACAGCCTAAACGTGACAAATAACAAAGTATAGAATACATTAAGCGATCCTCATGTATATGTGCCAAATTTTCATAGACTGCAAAAATATCTGGAGAATCATCCGCTGTTGGTTGGGAAGCTTGCAACAAATTAGCTTTTTTTATTACACACAAATGCATGGCATTATCTCCATCCTCATCACGTGCGGTAATATCGCAGCCAAGTTTAACCAATTTTTCTATTGCTGCTGAATGTCCTTGTGAAACAGCTAATAAGAAGGGTGTCTGTCGTCTGTTGTTGCGGATATCAATTTCAGCTTGACCATCTTTTATTAATGCTTCCACAACTTGTGCGTGGCCATTTAGAGCTGCTAAATGCAGAGCCGAAAACCCATCATCTTTTTTTACATTTACAAGCTGTCTAGCCAGCTGCAAAATACGTTTTGCAGCTACTAAATTGCCTTTAAGGGCTGCATGATGAAGAACATTGAAGCCTCTATTATTCTTCACTGTAAAATCTAGATTCGGAGCATTGCACAATAGTTCAACTACTTCAGTATTTTCTTTTCCAATAGCATCATGCAATGCCGTGTCGCCATATGAGTCTTGAATGTTTACATCTACGCCGAAGGTCAGTAATTCACGAACACAGTGAGGTGTTTTCTTATGTGCACAAATATGCAATGCAGAGCAATGGCTTGAGTTTAAAAAATTAATATTTGCATTATTTTGTAATAAAATGCGCATTGTGTCTGGCTGATTTCCAAAAGCAGCATAATGCAATGCGGAGTCGCCTTCTTTATCTACAACATTAACATTTGCTCCCTTACTTAAAACTAATTTGACAATATCTACAAAACCCTGATGTGCAGCGACTTGAATACATGCTTTTCCGCCACTCATAACATTCACCTGATCTGGATGAGCATCTAAATACTGCCGGACAAACTCTATGTGTCCTTGAGCAGCCTCACGCACAAGTTTATCTGCCATTGAGGTACCAGATAAACCAGATAATGGAGTCATAACATGGTCCGTCCTTCGGTGGCTTAAGTCCATCATGCTATTAGAACGTTCCGCTGCTGTTGCAAGTGGAGATCTTTCAAGTTTGACACATTTAGGGTTGAGAGTCCATTCAAATCCATCGTCCAATTGCTCAATACGTAAGTCACCATCTGAATAAACCTTGATCACCTTACATAATTTACCAAGTGCCTGAAATGATTTAAACAAATGTTGTAATCATAATAAATATATCTGCCGGTCCACACTAGGAAACTATTTTTGAGAAACTTTTGATTTTGCGTGAGAGAGAAAGAAATATCATTCATCTCTCTCGCAGCACGGAGTTTCTCGTACTCGGAAACTCGTTTTGTTTTGTTATTCTTCTCATGCGTACAAAAACAAATCAATGCAATTAACACGTAGTTTCTGAAACAAAAGTTTCAATGTGTAGACATTAAGGAAACTTTAAAAGAGAATTGAGAAAAAGTTTCTCAACTAAAGTTTCCGTGTGTGGACCGGCACTCTGTGTATGCATTAGGGAGGACCGAAATGGAAATTGCTGATTTTCCCGCTAAAAATTAAAATTTAGTTCATTCTAATAAATAAAGTTTTTCGTATTTTTTCTATTTCTCACAAAGAAAATATATGAATATTTGAAAGGCACTTTAATTTCGTGTCAAACATTTATGTGCGATTACAAAAGTATTAACAAATTTTAATGTTTATGAATTTTTTTCTTTTTCAAATTGTGTGTAAATAATTTATATTATTACATATTAAATTATATTTAGTTTGTATTTCATAATATGTATATCAATAAACGCGCAATTTCATGACCTATATAATTTAATATAACACTTTATGATTACATTTGACTTTAGGACAAATATATCAGTTACACTGAAATACTAAAAAATCACCTAAAAAATATTATTTATATATTATTTATTATTTTTTCCTTTATTTATATATAACATTTCGAATCAGGTCATGCTTTGGGTTGAACGTTGGTTTCGATATATCAAAATAAAATTTGATCTAGAATAAATTTCGAAAACCGATAAAATCGGTTTCGGTGAAAATTAATAATGTTTATTTGAGTTTATTACTTTAAATAAATCTATAAGTCTGTTGGTTTACCAACTATTTTTTACTTGTTTATTTTTTATGATTTTTTTAAGTTTTCCGTTATTGTACCCAAAAAATTTGTTCTATATTGAGTTGTTTGGAAAAAATTCCATAAAATTTATTATTAATGACAATGAAACAAGAATTAATTGAATTTCGTTCTTTTATCTCATTTTACTACTTTTACTTAAAATGTATTCAAACAAACCTTATGTAACAATTTCAAAAATGTAAAATTGTTTCGAACATTTTAAAGCTCTTTCAAATACTTTTTGCGTGATATAAAAATTTCATATCATTCCTTTGCGTAATTGAAAAACCTAAAAAAATATTTTATCCTTTGTCCCAGCTCACCAATTATTGACACCAGGACAAACGTTTTAAAAACGTTATAAAACTTTAATTTTTGTTGGGAACATCAGTACATTATTTCTTCTTCATACAAATGGGGCAACCCTAGTATGCAAATATCAACAAATATTCATACATAGTGCATCAATTCAATCCATTCTCCATGTCCTTTCTGTAATTGCTGAACTTTTGCTGAATCATTTATTATCGTTACCAAATCCCCAACACGAAACGATACAACTTTAACCAAGGCAGCTGGATGAAATGTCCATCTATTTGGGCAGTTTTCATACTGTACCCTGTAAATATAGAATTATTAAGTAATGGCTTTATTGGAATATTGGTAGGCAGAAAGTTAAAATAATATTTAAAGCTTTTTAAAATAAACATATCGCTCATTTACTACAAAACTGGCATAATACAAAATTGGAGATTTTGAATTGAAAATATATTACATATGTAAGTATTATCATAATGTCTTTCATTTAGTTTGGTCGTTTTTTAAAATATGTATGTCTATTATTTTCGGATCCATTTTTTGTTGTAAACGTCAAAACTAAAACCCAAGCTTTCATGACATACATCAATATTCGAATTTATTATTTTTTTATGAATTAAGGTCCAAACACATACAATACTTTACGACGAACTGCGACTGATAGCTACGCAACGTAAAAAATGTGATGCCCAATCGTTGCGTTGATAAAGTATGAATAAACTTAATATGTTTTAATAATATAGTATTAAAACATATTAAGTTCATCGTGAAGTATTGTATGTGTTTGGACTAGGGATTCTAAGCGGGAAAATTTTCCCGGGAATATTTTTTCGTAAGTCCCGGAAGACCCTTGAAGTGTTAAAAATATTAGATAATAAATTGCATGATGATGATTTTACTTAATAGAAAATACTATTTAATAATTAAAATTGTCCGATGCTAGAAAATACGATCACTGTAAAGAATGCTTTAAATATTAAAGTTAAATAAACTAAATTTATATCACAAACTTTCAAGACGAACCCCTGAATTACGTACAAGATGTTATCAGATAATCAAATTACATTTAGGGCGTTTGTTTTGAAAATTATATGAAATTTTTAAAACGTAAATAAACTTTAGAACCCGTCTCTTACCCCCGGAGATTAAGATAATGGGACTGTTTCCAAGCATAAATGTGAGAAAGATCTTCTCTAAACCAACTTTGTGATTCATAAAGGACTGTTACATATTTAGATCGAAATTGTTTCTAGTCCGTAGTTATATCATATAGTTTTCATTTATTTCTTGGCAATAAAATAAATTTTAATATAAAATTGTTATTGTTTTATTTAAAATTGGTAGTGAAATAATTGTTTAAAACGTTAAAAGTAATAAGAACGTTTTTGATCGAAATTTTGATCATTTTTGAACATATTAATAGAATGCACAAAATAAATTAAATTGTATTCCTTAAAAATCAAATATAACTTTTACCACGATCTAATGGTACAGAATTTATTGAAACTTATAAAAAAATTGGACATTTTGGTCATACAAGTTTTATTTAAATTAGTGTAACTTTTCACCTATTGTTTCTAGCAAAAATTTTCCAAGGGAGTTCAGATAGCTATATTTTTATTGATTCGATTTTTTTTTTAAATTTTACACTCATTTGAATAAAAACCTGTATGACCAGAATGTCCAACTTTGATCCCCTCTGAATCCGGCAGTTCTTGAGCATTAGGGCTGAAAATGTGTCTGACCTACTATCCCATAGTACTAACCATGGTGAAAATTTCATCATTAATTTTAAAAGTTGGGTCACTTGACACGAAATTCCCCCTGTATAAAGTTTCGTGATTCGCTATGTTACTGGTAGCACTGTTTTCTACAGACACATTTTCACTATTTGTCAAAACATAATCTATAAAAGTTTTTGATCTTTGAGTTATACGAGTGTAATTTTTTACTATTGATTAAGTTCATAATCAATCATTTTCTTTTCTATCTTATGTTTTGCATCAAGAATCGTACAGAACTTGCACAAAAGAATTCAATATTTATATTCTTCATATTTTTCCAGTATTTTCGACACTTTCCATAATTTTTTTTTAAATAAATTATCCCTCCACCAGTTGTACGGAAATTTGACATTGATGTCAATTGCTCATAATTTTGTAATGTTATTTTACTGATATAATTTTAATTAGTATACATAGAGTCACAACAAAAGCGGACAGAAAAGATTTCATAAAATTTTTCACCAATTCAACAGATCTTGCCACGAGAATTAAAGAAAAAAGTGAGTTAAAGTTACGGGTCCAAAAAGTTTATTTTCACCTATCACATAAAATAATATGATTTTTTTAGACAATTCATTAACTATAAATATCGAACTGAAAAAAGTGGATGTCTAAATTTACCCACATTTTGAAAAGTTATTAAAAAAAACACTAGAATATTTCTTTCAAATCTCTATTTCCTAACTAAAAAAAATTTGTACGCTTTTACCGGCTTTTTTATTTTTCGGGAAATAATTACTTGATTTAGAATTTTCGCTGTAGCTTTGTAATGAAAAGCGATAACTTAAAAAAATAAATTGGAAATGAAAGTATATACCTTGTACTATGTGAAAAATAAAAAAATAAATCCAGTTTTGTATATGGGAAATTCCTTTTTTGTTTTAGATTTTAAGAAATCAACATTATGCATTAAATATTTCTTGCGTTTACTATTTTAAAAATTAAGTGATGACGAATTTTTATTCACAAGACTTGAAAGAATACGTCCATGAAATTTTGTGGTCGAGAGTAGTTCCATGATGTAGAAATAAACATTCAAAGTTAAAATTTATCAAAAAACTGATTGAAACCAACTAGTTTTTTTACAACTTTTGGATATTATGAAAGCCAATTCTACTAATGTAGGCTGTATACACTTGTTGGGTGATTATACTCCATATTTAATTGTTGTGCCAATTATAAGTAAAGAATTACATGGTCGCAAAGTTTTGAAACCAAATTTATACAATTTAACAAAATTTGCATTTTTTTTGGATAGAATATTTGGGGCTCTTCGGTTTTGCAAAATTTAGAAATGAGAAAAAGTAGACAACGTAATTACGCGTCGTTTGATGTATATATCTAAAATGTTCCCTAGAAGATAACACTGTGGGAGAAGCTTAAATATTGAAAAAATAAACGTGAAAGTTTCGAAAAAAATGGATTTTTCGCGAAACTTCAATATACCCATATATATCGCGTGATCGAAATACTTTTAACTTTTACATGTTGAAATCATAAAGCCGCGATAAAATATTAGCATGCAAAGATATTAGAGCAAATACAAAAAAATTGCGAATTTTTCATTTTTTTCTTTAGCGAATTTTCGCATTATAAACAAATTTTAAATTGTGAATTTTATCAGTAATCAATCTTTATATAAAAAGAATTGGTTTGCATTAAACAAATTTAATCAAGGCCTTTCGTGGACTGAATACGCGGGGTTTCTTTCATAACATAAATCGATGAAGCACAACCGTTCGAAAAAAGTACGTTTTTGCATTAAAAAGGTATAAAAAAGTTCATTCATGTAAATACATAATTTCTTTACAAAATTTAAATTAACCGAACTGGTTTTCATTTTAACGATTTTTTGGATTAATAATTCATTTAAATTTAGTTATCCACAAAAGAAATTTCATCAAAATTTCTTTATCGCCGAAAACGCGGTGTTTCTTGTATTGCAAGATAATTCGACGAAGCACACCTAAACCGCTAATTAAAATTGGTAACACTTAACATTAATCGGTAGCTGACAATGATGCTTATACCAAAATCGATAAGCCGTTAGAAATAAGTACGATTTTGCTATAAATGCATTGAAAAAGTTCAGTCATGTGTATGAAATTTATTTCCAAATTTTATATAGATTTTCATTTTAGCGGTTTTTATATTATTTACTCATTTAAATTCGTGTTCAGAAAACACAGTGTTTTTCTTTTAAGTAAAACTAATGAAGCACACCATTCCCTCTAATTAAAACTAATAAAATTATATTCTTTTAGGTTGCTATTAATGTGGTCTATAACAAAATTTATAAACCGTTCGAAAAAATTCAATCATTTTGGATTTAATGCAATTAAAAAAATTCATTCGAATATATGCATAAATAAATTAAAACCTCATAATTTTTAATCTATCAAACATAAATGCATAATTTTTTTAGTTTATGATTGTAAATGAATGTATTAATTCAACATGTTAAATAGTCTATAAAAAACTGTTAAAGGGGTTGAAAAAACTCTTAAAAAGCGAATTTATCCATATTTAAAATATTTGGGTTAAATTAATTTTTATTTTGGATCCTTCGTTGTGGGTTATATCCACGCTTATAATTTCGAGTTTCAGGTAAAAACGTAATTTTGGGAATTTTTTTAAACTGTTAACTTTAAACCGCTATAACTTTGGCGGTTTTTGATAAAAATATTCACGAGAAGATAATTGTACTTCTAAGACGTTAGACAATGTCCACACAAAATATCGTTGAACCTCAAAATTTAAATTAAAAAGAGAATTTCCCATATATATGTATACAAAAAAATACTTTAAATTCAAAATTTGGGTTTAAATCGATTTCAATAATTTTACACCATTTTTGAAAATCTTAATGAAATAAATTTTTATAATTTTTGCTTGATAAATAATCATACTACACTCAAAACAAAATCATTTTATAAAAAAATAATAAATATTCGTTTTTGGGTTATTTGACAGTTTTACTGAATATGAGCATGACTTATCAATTTGCTTTTATTTGGAAATAAGTAGCTATAATTAACAAATCTTTTAAATATGTTGTTAAAATTATTTATTATAATTTTATAAAATGTGGTAAACTTGTTAATATTCCCCATGGTGCCAAAAATTATTATACCCACTCCTCTTGATAAACCACCTCAAACTATTCTTCATCTGAAATATTTTCGCCTTCTGATGTGTCACTGTCTATTGGAAGGAGTTTTTCTTTTCATATAAGTTGCTTTTACCAGACATAGCTCGATCCGAGGTTATTAGGAACCTATAAAGTTCCTAATCCTTAAGTGCCCTATTATTTAGGAACATGAACACTAATGTACAAATAGTGCTGATTAGGATGAACTAAGTAATAAAAACCAGCTCTCAATGCTTTGTCTAAACTAGAGTTGGGATCGTGAGTACATTTTACCCACGACCATGTAAGTATAGTAGAGTATAAAGAAAAATCAAACATGACCATTACTAGGTCTACATAATTCCCACGCCAATATATTTATTACGA